AGGGAGGGAGGAGCGCGCGGCCCCGGGCTCGCTCCCTGCGGGGCTCGACCCCCGGCCACCGGTGCGGTGCTCGGGGCCGGGGGAACGGGGCCCGGGTAGGGGAGACCCCGACCCCCGCTCCGGCCGCTGTCAGTGCCGAGACCCCGCGGCCGGAGACTGGAGCCCGGCTCGGCCGGGGGCGCTCTTACCCCTGCACCGGGGCACACCAAGTCCCGGCGCAGCCTCTGCGCAGTTCCCGTGGGCCCGGCCCAGGTGGAAGGCGCCATGGACACGCCGGCCTCGAACATCAGACCGGGGGGTCCGGCCTGGGGGCACCAGCAGAGTTGGGTGCGAGGGGAGCTCCGGGCCTGACTCCTGTGCTCTCCTCTCAGCCCTGTCCCCGGGAGGTGGGGCTCTGGCTGTGCCTGGCCTCGTGGTCGTGGACACGTGTGGAGGGCTGCATGCAGGGGGTCCCAGACAGGCCAGGGCTGCTCTGGGGCATCCAGGGGGTCGCGCCTGCCCTGCTTCCTCCCATGCACAGCTTGGGATTTGTGATGCCTTGGGCCTGGTGCCCAGACAGCCTTGGTGCTATTCAGCCACTTGGTGGTTCCTCCAGGCCTTGGTCCTTGGCTTCCTGGCCTGGAGTCATCGCCCCCAACACAGTTCAGCCTTTCTCCCGTGAGCCCCTCTCAGGGCATTGCCCCCAGGCCAGGGGCTGGGAGGCATCTGCCTCTTCACACGGGCACTGGGCCTGAGCTGGATCTGGATGATGGCTGCAGGGAGCCTCTCTGGGCTGGGGGTGTCAGGCAGGTCCTGGCAGGGGGGAGCCTTGCAGGGCTCAGCCTCACTGCCCCCTCCCTACAGAGATCCGCCGCAGGGGCTCCAAAGATCCGCTGGTCAAGGCCATCCTACTGCTGGATGAGCCGAGCGAGAGTGGGGCCAAGCCGGAGAGTGGGGCCAAGCGCCCCGGGGCCAAGGAGCCGCCAGGGAAGGGCCCACAGCTGTACGACACACCCTACGAGCCTGGGGAGGGAACGCCATGGCCTGAAGCCCCCATGCCTGACAGGAAGGCATGGGGGGCGGCTGAGAGCCGGCTGCCGGAGAATGATGAGCGCCCAGCGGGCGAGTATGAGCAGCCCTGGGAGTGGAAGAAGGAGCAGATCGTCAAAGCCCTGTCGGGTAGGGGCAGGCCCAGGCTGGGCTTGGGGGTGCCAGCAGGGCCTCGGCTGCCAGAGCCTCTCTGGCCGCCCCCACTGCAGAGCCATGACTTCACCAAAGCCCTTCCTTGCAGTCCAGTTTGAGGGCCCCAAGGACGAGGCACTCCGGCAGCACCATCGCCAGAAGAGCTGGGCCCCCAAGATGCTGAAGCCAGTGACCCCAGAGCACAGCGAAGGCGAGCGTGTGGACCCTGCGCTAGCACTGGAGAAGCAGCCGTAAGCCCCATGCCCCGCACAAGGCTAGCCCCACTCCTCTTCACTGCCCTGCTGGGTGCTGGAAGGGGGAGCTGGGCTGATGTCACCCCAGGGAGATGGGCTCTGCCCTGGCGCCATGCTGCAGGGCTCCCCAGGCCCACAGCCCAGTCTGGACGCTCCTCTCCTCTCCTCAGCTGGTACCATGGAGCCATCACACGGGCCGAGGCTGAGAGCCGGTTGCAGGCCTGCAGGGAGGCCGGCTACCTGGTGCGGACCAGCGAGACAGGCAGCGGCAAGTACTCCATCGCTCTCAAGTGAGTCCTCAAGGTGCCGGCGGTGGGGGGGCTGGGGGCCTGCGGCTGCCCTGGGGGGGTTCCTCCAAGAAAACAATGACTCAGCCATCTCCTCTGGTTCTCTGTGTTCCTCCAAGGAGACAATGACTCAGCCATCTCCTCTGGTTCTCTGGAGCCAGGCCCCTGTCCTCTGGGAACCCTTGTGAAGCCAGAGGGATGAAGGGTAGAGTCGGGATACCCCCCACTTGAGGGGCCACATTCAGCCTGCCCTTTCCACGAGGCCTCTGACCCCCAGATAGAAGCCAGGTATCCCGCCTCCCAGACCCCTTCTCTCGCCCACCAAGCCCCAGCAGGCATCCGCGCCCCTGGATAAGCGCAGTTTATGCCCAGGCCTCTGCTAACTCCTGGCAGATGGAGTCTGTGGGACCATCCTTGCAGGAGCCATAAGGGAAGAGCTGGCACATCAGCTGCCCAAGGGTTAAGCCTGGAGGGAAGGCCCCACACCCCTCGCGTGCCCTGGCGCTGGTGTGGCCACAGCAGATCATTGTTGAGTGCTGGCCGTTTCCTTCCTGAGGAAGCAGAGCCCCCGGAGCTGAAACAATCGGCCAGGGAGTGGAGGAGGGAGCAAACGCCTGCCCTAGGACCAAGCTCGCTGGGCTGGCCTGCACCGGGCTGGGCTGGCCTGCACCAAGCAGCAAAGGTTGCAGGATGCTCATGTCCAGTGTCCACATGGAGCAGGCAGGGGTGATGCCCAATGATTAGAGCTGCAGGGCCTGGGAGCCAGGACTCCTAAGTGCTTTTTCTACCCAGGCTGTGGACCTTTTGCCCCATGCCCCAGTTTCCCCTCAATGCAACTGGGGTCAGTGCTGGGTGGGGGGGAGAAGGGCGAGATCTGGGAGCAGCCCAGGGCTGATGGCCTCCTCTGCCTCCAGGACCAGTCAGGGCTGCGTCCACATCATTGTGGCCCAGACCAAGGACAACAAATATACGCTGAACCAGGCCAGTGGCGTCTTCGGCAGTGTCCCTGAGGTTGTGCACCACTACTCCACTGAGAAGCTGCCATTCAAGGGGGCTGAGCACATGGCGCTGCTCTACCCCGTGCACAGCAAGCTGCACTAGTGGCTGGGCCTGCGGCCCCCCCCACCCGTATGGGGCTTAGACAGACATGGAGCTTGGAGATGGGCTGCCCCCTGCCCTGGCACCGTTGGTCTCCCTGCAACCAGGTCCCAGCTGCCCACATGGAGGAGGCATAGACCTGACCCCAGGAGGCCCTGACAGAAAGCAGGAGCTGCTCATCCTGACTGGGAACAGCTTAGGCCAGAGGGTGGCTACCTGGCACCAGAGCTGCGCATGTCAGCACAGCCCCTAGCGCTGAGCCCCAGGGTTTTTTCCCAGCCTCCAGCACACAAAGGAAGGATGGATTTAACTCCTGGACACAAGGCGACAGGGCCAGACACTGCCCTTGCACCCCCAGCTCCACTCTGGGTGCCCCAGGCAGTGGGCCTGGCCCCCTGCAGTGCATGAGCCAATGCTGCCACCTCGTGGCTCCAACCCGGTCCAGGGCCAGGCCCAGCCCCATCTCCATCTGCATCACTGCAGCGCTGCGCTGTGCCTAGGCAGAAGAGGCAGCGATCGCTGGAGGGGGCAGGGTCCAGGGTTGCTCCAGCCTCAGCAGCGGCTGAGCTGCTTCTCTCCTGTCCCCACATGCGTGCACCTGCAGTAGCACCAGCGGCCCACTGTATTCATGGCTTCGGCTGTGAGACTCACGTGGCCGCACATCTGGGCCTGCCCCAGGGATGAGACCTGGACCACTGCCCTGCTCTGCTCACCTGCCCTGGACATGGGGAGCAGGGAGCTCACCCAGGGCCTGTGGGATCTTGCCCCCCCTACCCAGCCCACGGGCACATTGCCTGCAGCCCAGCCACAGGTGCTACGGGCTTGCTCGGGGCCTGCAGTCTAGTTGGCAGGAAGCTGAAGGATGGACAGGGCAGCAGCCTGGAGCAAAATAAATGTCACTGTGGACAATGCTTCCTGCTGCGTGCTCTGGGTGGGGGTGGTGGCTGTGGTCAGGACAGGCGTCGCTGCTCCCTGCCTGTGCTCACCTGGCCCTGCGCCTGCTTCAGCCCTGCCTGCACCAGCGCCTCCCCCCTGTCAGGGTGCCTGTGGGAACTAACCTGTAACAACACTGTCCTATGAGCACTGGGGGAAGGGGAGGTCCTGGGCTCTGCTCAGGGTCCAGCCAATGCTAGGATAAGGCTGGCATGAACCCCCTCCCCACTAAGTGGATGCCAGCCCTGTCCCAGCACTGCCCTGAGCAACCTTTGGCCTTCAGCTAACATTTGTGAGCTGGAAGGGGGTGGTGCCCCCCCCCCCACCGCTCCCTGGCAGCACACCCAGTCCCTGCCGCTGCTGCGCCCAGAGAGGTTGTGCAAGCACCAGCTGCCCTCGAGTGCCCCAAATGGAGGGGGGGCGTCATGGGGACAGTGGTGAACACAGAGATATGCCAAGACAAGGCATAATCCTCCCCCACACCCCAAGCAAAGACAGGCAGGAACAGACCAGGGCAACCCACCCACTCCCCTCTACACACCTTCCCACACTCCCACCCAGACCAGCCGACCCCCTGTGCGCTTGGGCAGAGTTTCTCAACCTGTGGGTTGTGACCCAAAAGTGGGTCACAAGAATATATGAAAGTGTTGGGAACAAACTTTAAAAATGGATCAACAAACTTAAAAAACAGGCCATTTTTAAAGAGGAAAGCACGGGAAACCATGGGGGTTTTCCCTTGCAGGTTGCCAGAGGTCCAGTCTGTGAGGGCCTGCTTGCCCCCCCATCCCACACATTGGGGGGCTGGGGCCTGGGGGCAATGGGTCCAGACTGAGGGGCAGCAGGTTGGGACTAGCCATCGATGTTTACAAATGGGTCCTGATACAAAAAAGGTTAAGAACCGCTGGGCTAGGGGGACATGCCCTCCCCCCAGCGCGCGCACACACATCCAAACCAGGCCATCCCCTGCCCCAACCCCCAAATCTACACAGACTAGGAGCATGCCCCTGCCAGACTGGGGTGACAGTCCCTTCCTCCCCCTCCCCCAACCACGAATGATCGCGCAGCTGGTTGGCCCCTGCCCTCCCCAGCCCCAAACCATGACCGCCCTCACCCCCCCAGCCCATCCACCCCCACACACAGCAATGCACCCCTAATCTGGATGTGGACACACACACACACACATCCCTCTTGGGCTGCAGGGGGATATTTGGAGGCAGGGGGTCGCCTCTGATTTGGGGGGAGTGCCTGGAGGGGTGACCCTAGTTTGGGGGGGCCATGCAGGGGTTGGGTGTATATTGGGGGCTGGCATGGGGAGCACCCCCTCATCTGGGGTGGGGTGGGTTTATAGGGGAGAAACGCCTGCTCTTGGCGGGTGTATCGGCGGCACCCCTGGTTTTGGGGGAGGGCTGTGTCTATGGGGGGGCAGGCGAGACTCCCATGGTCACGGGGTGAGGGAGACATTGGTGTGCGAGTGTGTTGGGGGAGGGGGGGACATCCCCGGGCTGCCGCA